TAGTTACGTCTGAAGACTCTTCATGAGTAGACTGAGACTCTTCATAAGTAGACTCAGACTCTTCATGAGTAGTCCTAAGAGTCCACAAACTCTGTAACAAACTTTCAGTTGTAACTTAAACCTTGAGACTCTATATTATTAGTTACGTCTGAAGACTCTTCATGAGTAGACTGAGACTCTTCATAAGTAGACTCAGACTCTTCATGAGTAGTCCTAAGAGTCCACAAACTCTGTAACAAACTTTCAGTTGTAACTTAAACCTTGAGACTCTATATTATTAGTTACGTCTGAAGACTCTTCATGAGTAGACTGAGACTCTTCATAAGTAGACTCAGACTCTTCATGAGTAGACTCAGACTCTTCATGAGTAGTCCTAGAGTCCACAAACTCTGTAACAAACTTTCAGTTGTAACTTAAACCTTGAGACTCTATATTATTAGTTACGTTTGAAGACTCTTCATGAGTAGAGTGAGACTCTTCATAAGTAGACTCGAGTCCACAAACTCTATAACGAAACCTATGCTTCCACAACCCCCATGAAAACCCCATTACCTAACAAACTCCACGATTGCCCAAACTTCCTGATACCCACTCCACGAACTCCACAACCCTCCTATTCCAAACACCAGCAAAATACGTGAAAGAATCCTTAAACTTCACACAAACGATCGAATCAAAGCCGACACAAAGGATAATGAGCAAAAATACCTGAGCAAAAAAGTGTTCCATTGCAAATATGAAAGAGGGTCAGTCGATTACCCAACACGAACGGGTCCGATTAGGTGAAAGTCCTCGTCCCGCTGGGCGCAAACCAGACCACCGCAACCATTGTGTCTGCATCGGGTGCTGTCAATAGGATCAGCATGCGATAACAATGTGTCCCGAGTCAAGAGACCCTCGAGATCCTGCAGGCTTCTATCCGTGGCTAATCCATTAGATTAGGTTTAGGTTTTACGGGAACCCTTCGAGTTTGATGGCTCTGTTGTGGACCCTCGGCGCCGATGACTGGCTACTTTGCGAGGGCTTGTGTCCTTTCAAGAGGTGACGACAGGCTTTCTAAGTATGCTGGACAGTTGAATACCTTTGCTTTTAAAATCGCGTATTTTTCTAATTCGGCCGGTGGGGTGAGAGATCAGAACTGGGTTTCTTGTCAGAAAGAGTTTTGGTCAAAGGTAGACATGTCCAAAATTAACTTAGAAAATTATTATTAATTTTTCAAAAATTATTTATTTTGTTAACTTAAAATTTTCTTGTCGAAAGGAATTTTGGTCAAAGTTGGACAGGTCAGATGTTAAGTTGACAGGTTTAAAATTAACTTAGAAAATTATTATTAATTTTTCAAAAATTATTTATTTTGTTAACTTGAAATTTTCTTGTCGAAAGGAGTTTTGGTCAAAGTTGGACAGGTCCGATGTTAAGTTGAGAGGTTCAAAATTAACTTAGAAAATTATTATTAATTTTTCAAAAATTATTAATTTTGTCAAGTTAAAATTATTTGACCTCGAAGGTTAAACCTTGAAAATTAGCACTGTTCATTTTGTTTTCGGTTTACACTGTTTTATTTTGGTATCAGTGATCTTATTTCGAAATATCTGAGATGCCAACAAGTCAGCAACACACGGAACCGTTATTTCATCCAAGCCTTGTTATGCAGGCTTTTCCGTTACGATATCAGATCCTTATTCATTTTCTCGTTTTCCAATTGCTGAGATCGTTGTTCCACGGTGCATGCACGATTTCGTGTACATCCTCCTTTTGTTTTCCTGCATTTCCACGAGAGATATCTTCCATCTCTTTACGTGCCGGCATCGAGAGAAATTCCTTGGAAAAACATTGGTGAAATGATTGAAACTCTGCTTTATTTATGGACATTTGTTCTTGAGGACAATGTGGGAATGTGAGGCGTATATGAGGGTCGATATGACCCATTTATTTTAGGTAAGTTTAGGTCACTGATGTAGCTGACTGATGTAGCCATAGAAATTCAAATATTAAAATTAAAAACTGAATATTAAATTAGTTAGCTTTGGGTGATACACTTGATTTGGCCTAACAGTGAATATGGGGGTTAATTATGACCCATAGGTGAACATGTGCATAACAGACAAGTGGACACTTCATTTTCACCTGTTACTCATCTGGGATATTACTAGAATATTAGAACCTTGCATATTAATATATCCAATCACCCCATCAGTATGTGGACATATGTGGACATATGTGGATCGAGTGTCTCCTTGATCTCTATTGTCCTAACGACGAATGTAGATAGCAAGGGTCAGTTATGACTCTATGAAAGACAAGTCAACTTCATTTTCACCTGTTACTCATCTAGAATATTACTAGAATATTAGAACCTTGCATATTAATATATCCAATCACCTCATCAGTATGTGAACATATGTGGACATATGTGGATCAAGGGTCAGTTATGACTCTATGACAGACAAGTCAACTTCATTTTCACCTGTTACTCATCTAGAATATTACTAGAATATTAGAACCTTGCATATTAATATATCCAATCACCTCATCAGTATGTGGACATATGTGGATCAAGTGTCTCCTTGATCTCTATTGTCCTAGCAACGAATATGAATAATAAGGGTCAGTTATGACCCCTAGTAGAATATATCTATGACAAGTCATCTTCACCTGTCACTCATCTAGATATGCCTTCATAATCAATTACCTCATTAGCCTCTGATAGCTTCATAATTAGACACCTCATCCACACCCCATCCCACAAATGATACCCTACTTAAAACGTCCACACGACAAGTGTTCACACATCGCCTCCTCAAAATTCAATTATCCTCCCAGATAAAAGTACACAAGTAGACACTTAATCCACCTACCTACGAAAAACAGTGTCCAAAGTGTCCAGCTATCAAAATATTCCTAAATCTCTTCCCAGCCCGAATTTTCCGATTGAGAAGTCCGACAATTTATCACCGTCGGAATTTCCATAGGAAAGTGTAGGGACACGGGACATATTTAAACGCGGCACACTAGGGACACGACATCAGGGTTATAAGATCGGGCACGTCTCTATCTAGGTTCTTTAGTACGGCTCCGAGGGGACGCAATATATTTGGTAGGTGGAGAGTGAGATAGGTGGTTAGGTAGGTAGCCGTGGTGGATGTCGGGTAGATAGTCGACCGGCTTCGGTAATGGAGACTGCAGGGTGCCGCTAATGCAGTAGCGATGTCACGGTGCCCGTTGCATCGGTATATTCCTTCCCTTTTCCGCCCTTTTGCTCCTCCGCGGTTTACCATACGTGTCCCTTCTTTACCTCCGCGATAACGTGTCTCTCTTCCTGAACAGCTTCTCTGTCGGTTTATCTCGGACCCCCGCGTTTTTCTCTTTTCTCGATTTAACGGAATCGTATCTGGGGAGACACGGATATCTCGGACGATGGGAAACATTCTCCGCGCGGATGTGTTTGTAGCGTTTAAAGCGAATGGAAAAATGGGCGCCGCCTGTTGCGTCCCGCGGTTACGATAATTTCTTGCTTATTTTTGTTATGGTATCCTGCTCGATTTCTTCCACTCGTTAATTGGCCTCATTTTAAAAATACCGACTGCCGTTCGGGCACTCTTTTTTAGAGCAAAAACTGCTAAACTTCCTCAGAAGGTAGCTGCGTTACGTCACATATTCAGGATTCAGGCTTTTGGACCTGACATTATGACAGAGTTATAGACAGTTGTAGGTCTAAATAATAATGACAGATGTCAGAGGTAGATCTACATTTGATGTGGACCCAGACTGATATGGTTGCACTTCGCAGTTGGACAAACTAACTTTTAGTACTAAGCTAGCTCTACTAGCTTGATGATCTGAACTGCTTGAGATCGTCTTCTGAATCAAATGGTTCACATAGTCATCCACAAAGTGGGTTCAGATATGATTGTTGCAACCCAGTCCACATTTTGTATAAACTAGCTTTCAGTACTAAGCTAGCTCTACTAGCTTGATGATCTGAACTGCTTGAGATCGTCTTCTGAATCAAATGGTTCACATAGTCATCCACAAGCTGGGTCCAGATATGATTGTTACAACCCAGTTCACACTTTGCATAAACTAGATTTGAGTACTAAGCTAGCTCTACTAGCTTGATGATCTGAACTGCTTGAGATCGTCTTCTGAATCAAATGGTTCACATAGTCATCCACAAGATTGATCCAGATATGATTGTTGCAACCCAACCCACATTTTGGACAAACTATGACTTTGAGTACTAAACGTGTTTTGCTAGTTTGCATTAGCTTATGACTTTGAAACTAAATGACTCTGGTGATGATGGACTCTGTTACAATTTGAATTTGATGAAATTTGACTCTGCTGTAATTTGACTCTGATGAAATTTGACACTGATGAAATTTGACACTGCTGTAATTTGACTCTGCTGTAATTTGACTCTGATGAAATTTGACACTGCTGTAATTTGACTCTGATGAAATTTGATTCTGATGAAATTTGACACTGCTACAATTTAACTCTGCTACAATTTAACTCTGCTACAATTTGACTCTGCTACAATTTAACTCTGCTACAATTTGACTCTGCTACAATTTGGCTCTGATGAAATTTGACACTGCTACAATTTGACTCTGATGAAACTTGACACTGTTGTAATTTGACTCTGATGAAATTTGACTCTGCTACAATTTAACTCTGCTACAATTTGATTCTGCTACAATTTGGCTCTGCTACAACTTAACTCTGCTACAATTTGACTCTGCTACAATTTGACTCTGCTACAATTTAACTCTGCTACAACTTAACTTTGCTACAATTTAACACTGCTACAATTTGACTCTGCCAAAAAAAATTTATCTCTGTCATGTAGATCTCAAACAACATAGTCCTAGAACATCTATTAAATCATCCCACAGACATCATCTTCATAAAGCCATATAAAAACATAAAACCTTCATACTTATATGATCATCTACAATAAACCAAAAGAAATCACTAACAAAACACCTTTGTTTCAGAATGTTCGGCAGCATGAAACGCTGCGCCCGCTGTCAAGCCGCGATCCTCGCCTCAGAACTAGTAATGCGAGCCAGGGACCTGGTCTTCCACGTCCGCTGCTTCTCGTGCGCGGCCTGCGCCGTTCCTTTGACCAAAGGTGACCATTTTGGCATGAGGGACGGCGCGGTGCTGTGTCGACTGCACTACGAGATGGGCGCAGAGCTGCATCCGTCCCAAAGTCCGCCGGTCCCTGTATATCCACCGGGTCCGCACTATCCCGGCCAGCCGTTCCCCTCGCCGGAATTCCTTCACCATCATCATCATCATCCGTCTCACCCTCCTCATCCTCATCACTCGATGCATCCGCAGCATCCTCACAGTCATGTGAGCCCCGTGCCGTTGCAGCCGTCGACGCCGTCGGTGCCCGACGCTGGATCACCTCCTAAAGTACCGTACTTCAATGGCGCTGCCGTTGTGCCACCGCCTAGACAGAAGGGGAGACCTAGGAAGAGGAAGCCTAAGGATTTGGAGGCTATGACTGCGAATATAGGTAAGTCAAGTTTATTATATTATGAGATTAAATTGCTGGGGAGCAGTAGGGTGTTTGATGTCCATTAGGGTGGCTGGTGACCAGTAGTGTTTATCTGGTGACTGGTAGGGTATCTTGTTACCAGTAGTGTTTATGTGATGACTAGTAGGGTATCAAATGACCAATAGTGTTTATCTAATGACTAGTAGGGTATCTGGTTACCAGTAGTGTTTAGCTGGTGACTAGTAGGGTAACGAATGACCAGTAGTGTTTATCTGATGACTAGTAGCGTATCTGGTTACCAGTAGTGTTTATCTGGTGACTAGTAGGGTATCGAATGACCAGAAGGATATCGAGTGACCAGTAGGGTATCAAATAACCAGTAGTGTTTATCTGATGACTAGTAGAGTATCTTGTTACCAGTAGTGTTTATCTGGTGACTAGTAGGGTATCGAATTACCAGTAGGGTATCGGGTGACCAGTAGGGTATCGAATGACCAGTAGTGTTTATCTGATGACTAGTAGCGTATCTGGTTACCAGTAGTGTTTATCTGGTGACTAGTAGGGTATCGAATGACCAGTAGTGTTTATCTGATGACTAGTAGGGTATCTGGTTACCAGTAGTGTTTATCTGATGACTAGTAGGGTATCTGGTTACCAATAATGTTAATCTGGTGACTAGTAGGGTATCTGGTGACTAGTAGAGTATCTTGTGACTACTAAGGTATCTAATGACTAGTCCTCTATCTGGTGACCAGTAGTGTCAATCTGGTGACCATTAGTGTTTATCTAGTGACCAGTAGTGTTGAGTATCTCTATCCAAAGTTTGTACCACTATTGTCTGAATACCTGATGACCAATATTGCTTAAATATCTGGTTCGTAGTCCCTAATGACTGTGTCTGAAAAGGTGCACATCACTCGAATAACACAACTAGTGTTAGAGGAAATCTAAAAAGAAACTTAAATACCTACGTGCTGTTAGGAAGTAAAGACCAGTAGATTTACGTATAGGTACCCAAATGTCGGCTACCTGAAAGTAGTTGGCTAGTGTCAGCGCGTCTCTAATTATATCTGGCAAGAGCCGTCCGTAACTTGGTTAATTTAGCGTGGCGACATCTGGCGGTGAATTATCGGGCGTGGTTTCGGTTGTTACCGATCACGAAAATTCCTGCACGAGTCCTGCGGCGTCCCGTCGGAGATCCGCGCGTGTCCCGACCCGGGCTTGATTTACGGGCGCGCGTGGGCGCACGGTGTTTGCCACCGAACCCTGATAAAATTTGTCGCCGCGACATAAATTCACGAATCCGATCCCAACAAAGCGTGTACGTGTCGCGCGTGGGCGAGCCGGACCGAATCGCGGCAGCTTCCATCTGAACGCTTCGAGAACTTCATTTTCGATTGTTGACCGACCGTGGGAACACGGGGCCACGCAGGACGAAACGAGGCACGGTGAAACCACCGGCCGTGTCCCTAAGCGGTCATCTTCGTCTTGTTTCTCTCTTTTCGGGTGAAAAAGATCGGCTACGCTCGGCTCGCGTACGATGATGTCCCGACGCCCTGGGTCCACGGATCACCGACTCTTTTTCGTCGTTTTGTCGTACCTCGATGGAGGCTGGTCCGAGGCGCGAGAATTTATCGCCGGGAATAAAATAATTTGATAGGGGCTGCTTCGACGATTGGACCGTTTCGTCGGCAAGGTCGTCAGGCTTCTTACTGCGAGCTGATGCTTTCTTCTGTTGTTTTTCTCTCGCTTATTCTTTCTTTCATTTCTTTTGGGAAAATTTCAAGGGGAGGGTCTCCCATTTTTTGGAGGACTCTTAGGGATTTTTCAAGATCCCCAAAGGGATATAAGGACTTTCAACTCCATGAACTTTCATAAAAATTATTCAAAAATAATATACCTTTGTCAAATTTTTTTCTTCCAAACAAAAAAAAATACCATCAAGTCTTACGCAACCAATAAAAGCTGGTTGCATCTCGAGATTCATCAAGTTCACGGAAACGAGTCGTAAAAAAAAGTACGGTCGATCGGAGATTTCCAGCGCGATATCGATCCCGATGTTATCGCGCCAAGTATCGAGTATCGGGTATCCTGCGGGACGGCAGAGTCCCGAGGACAAGATAGGTATACGCCGAGAATGAGGTATCGTGCCTAGAAACTATTTGCTGCATAGAGTTGTAATTGGCCGTGTATCCACCGGTCTTTCGCATACGCTATCACCCTTCTTGTTTGCACTCGGGGAGCTAATGAGCTGTGATACACATCAAACAACGCTAGACTCGCGTCCAGCTACATCGCCGACGGTTCCTCGTACTCGTCTCGAGAGCTCGCAATTGTTGCCGCGATAACTCCATTTCCGATCGAGATGCGCCATTCACGGGGCTATCTGTGATTCCGAATCGCGGATGCTTCATTTTCTATGGGATTTTTGTGTTGGTGCCGATGCACGATCGTGGTGCTTCAGAGAGGAGAGCCGGTCCCGATATATGGCCGTGTATGGGCAGGGTTATGAGAACAAGATGCACTCGTTCTGAAAGCGATTCGTCGTGTCGAATTACTGTGGGAATTGGTTGGTGGATTTTTTTGAGACGTTGCGAGATTTGGTTGAATAGTGGGATTAGATATCTAATGTATAGTTATTGAAATTAAAATGTTTATTTGAATTTTTGGTGATATATGTGGTTTGATAATTGAACACGTGATAACAGAAGGTTTGATAATTGAACACTCAGTAATAGAAGGTTCGATAATTGTATGTTTAATAATATTAGTAACTGAAAGTTGGATAATTGATCACGTGATAATAGAATGTTCAGTAATAATAGTTATTATAGAAAATTTAATAAATTTAATGAAAATGGCAATAAAACACGTGGCAATAAACTGAAAGTAAACGTCTCCAATTACTAACATATTCTAAATCAGTAGAATAGCAATAATTCTATGAAGTCCTCAAATAGACCAAAATTGTTTTAATTATATTGCATGAAAATGAAGTACGCGGCGATAAAGTGAGAGTAAATTTCAGTACCTATTAAATATTAAATAAATGAAGATTTATTTCTGGAATTTGATAAGAATTCTAGTACTCTGATATCTAAAAAACGAATACTGTATTTATCACATGAAATGGCAATAAAACACGTGGCAATAAACTGAAAGTAAACGTCTCCAATTACTCTCACATACTAAATCGGTGAAATAGTTATAATTCTACGAAGTCATCAACGCTAGAATCAAGTAGACGAATAGTGTTTTCATTACATTGCACAAAAATAAAGTACGCGGTGATAAAGCGAGATTAAACTTCATTTCTCATAAACGACTATTTCTTCTGGAATTTGATAAGAATTCTAGGATGCTGGTATCGAAAAGACGATTAATATACACATCACACGAAATGGCAATAAAACACGCGGCAATAAAATAAAAGTAAAGGTCTTCAATTACCATCCTAAATTCTAATTCGACAAAATTATAATAATTTTATGAAGTCATCAACTAGAATTAAGTAGACGAATATTGTATTCATTATATTGCACAAAAATAAAGCTCGCGGCAATAAAGTGAGAGTAAACTTCAATTGCTACGAAATACCAAATAAATAAATATTTTTCTGGAAGTTGATAAGAATTCTAGCATTCTGGTATCTAAAAGACATATACTGCATACATCACACGAAATGGCAATAAAACACGTGGCAATAAAATGGAAGTAAACGGCTGGAATTACTCCTATATACTAAATCAACAAAATAGTGATAATTCTATGAAGGCATTAACACTAGAATTAAGTAGACGAACATTTCCATTATATTGCACAAAACTAAAGTACGCGGCAATAAAGCGAGAGTAAACTTAATTTCCCATAAACGACTATTTCTTCTGGAATTTGATAAGAATTCTAGGATGCTGGTATCGAAAAGACGATTAATATACACATCACACGAAATGGCAATAAAACACGTGGCAATAAAATGGAAGTAAACGGCTGGAATTACTCCTATATACTAAATCAACAAAATAGTGATAATTCTATGAAGGCATTAACACTAGAATTAAGTAGACGAACATTTCCATTATATTGCACAAAACTAAAGTACGCGGCAATAAAGCGAGAGTAAACTTAATTTCCCATAAACGACTATTTCTTCTGGAATTTGATAAGAATTCTAGGATGCTGGTATCGAAAAGACGAAGCTTGTACCCGTCGGGGCATAAATCGAGCGAGGAGCAACCCTCCGGTTGAGTAAAGATCCCCCAGGCCGATAGAGAGACCGATACGGGCGGTTTCAAAAATACCCGCGACACCGGTGTTTAATTAAGACGCATAATCCGGATGTTGGGGATTTATGTTGCAGATTTGAACGCGGACTACATAGATATGCCGTTCGGTAGAGGGGGGCCAGCTACTCCCGGCATACCTGGTTCCAACAGCAGAACAAAACGAATGAGAACGAGTTTCAAACATCACCAGTTAAGGACGATGAAGAGTTACTTCGCTATCAATCACAATCCCGACGCAAAGGATCTGAAGCAACTTTCCCAGAAAACTGGCTTGCCAAAAAGGGTGCTACAGGTAAGAATCGATCACGGTTTCTCTGTCTCTTTCCGAGTACCGGACTTTTAATTCGACCAATCGTTTTCTAACCAATATGGCGTATACCGTACGCGTATGCTTTCCCTCCTTTGGCTGCTACCTTTTTGCACGCGGAAAATTAGCTGGGGAATTAATGCCGCTCCACGTAGCTTTTCAATGGAAATTCTACGCTAGATAATTTGTTGTTCACCTTTTTCTTTTAGTTTTTACGATGGATACGCGGTCTTTTCTACTGGGGAAGCGTGGGAGAGTTATTCTTGATTTTACTTGATGTTCTTTTGAAGAGATCTTTTGTACAAGTTTAAATTCCAACACTCTCAATTCTCAAATTTTTTAATTTTCAGTTTTTAAGTTTTCAAGTTTTTAAATTCATAAATTTTCAAGTTTTCAATTCTCAAGTATTCAATTTGGAAACTTGAGTGGTTGTCAAATTATTTTTTTCCATGAAGTTTGTCCATAGAGCTCACAAGAAGTCCTTCCACTACCCACAGGATTTTTTTGTTTAATTGTCATTTACGAAAGAAAGATCTATTAATGTGGGTGGAAATTGTTCCAGAGCATATTCTGGACTTTTCAGGAAAATAACAAGCGTGTCAATAACGAGCATGTTAATAACGAATGTCTTGACAAACGATGGTGCAGAGAACAGTCAAATCCTTAACTACTCACAGGAGTCTTCAGTTTAATTCTTATTAACCTAACAGATTTATTAAACTACTTGAGAATTATTGAAAAGTACTTTCCAGTCCCTGCAGGAAAATAATGAGCGTGTCAATAACGAACGACTTGACAAGTAACGTTGCTGAAACCTTAAAGAAAACAATCAAATCTATTAAACTAGCTGAAAATTGTTCAAAAACACATTCTATACCCTCCAGGAAAATAATAAGCGTGTCAATAACGAGCGTGTTAATATCGAGCGTGTCAATAACGAACGTCTTGACAAACCACGTGGCAGAAATTTTAAAGAAAACAATCTACTACAAATCTATTAAACTAGTTGAAAATTGTTCAGAAATCTAATTCAAGCCCGCCAGGAAATTAACGAGCGTGTCAATAACGAACGTCTTGACAAACCGCGTGGCAGAAACATAAAAAAAGACAATTTACTAAAACAATCTACTACAAATCTATTAAACTAGTTGAAAATTGTTCAGAAATCTAATTCAAGCCCGCCAGGAAATTAACGAGCGTATCAATAACGAACGTCTTGTGACAAGTAACGTTTCAGGAACCTTAAAGAAAACAATCAAATCTATTAAACTAGCTGAAAATTGTTCAAAAGCACATTCTAGACTCTCCAGGAAAATAACAAGCGTGTCAATATCGAGCGTGTCAATAACGAACGTCTTGACAAACCACGTGACAGAAACTTTAAAAAAAACAATTTACCAAAATAATCTACTACAAATCTATTAAACTAGTTGAAAATTGTTCAGAAATCTAATTCAAGCCCGCCAGGAAATTAACGAGCGTGTCAATAACGAACGTCTTGACAAACCGCGTGGCAGAAACATAAAAAAAGACAATTTACTAAAACAATCTACTACAAATCTATTAAACTAGTTGAAAATTGTTCAGAAATCTAATCCAAGCCCGCCAGGAAATTAACGAGCGTGTCAGTAACGAACGTCTCGACAAACAACGTTATAGAAACCGTAAAGAAAACAGTCGAATCTATTAAAACACATGAAAATTGTTCAAAAGCACATTCTAGACCCAGCAGGAAATTAACGAGCGTGTCAATAACGCACGTCTTGACAAACGACGTTATAGAACCGTAAAGAAAACAATCGAACAATTTATCAGCGTCCAGAGAGACGCATCGTGTTGAGATCGAGAGGATCTATGGATTTTTCCCGGGCTTTTCAGTCGCTAACAACCCCTTCTATCTTTAAACCGCGGTCGAGTTGTCTCGGTTGTTTCGAGAGGCCGAAATAAACGTAACACGGTCGCATAAATTCCAAAGGCACCGCCCGAATCGAACAACACGACCGAGCGCAACGATACAATCTGTCCGAAACGGCGTCCCAAAGGTCTTGGGCCACTTTTAGCGTCTATGAAGGGCGTCATGCGTCATTGACGCCGAGCACTAATTGGAGGAGGCTGCTGCAACCGACTGCACACGACTTAGATTATTTTCTTCCGCCGCGGAAACTCGATAAATTACGGAAATTATAGAAATAGAAATTATGTGTGTGTGGAGGTATGTCCGATGATAATATTAGTAGTAGTCTTATAATTTATTCTGTAATAGGATGGTTTATTGAAGGTTTTTTTATGGGGAGAGGGGAAATGAGGTGCGTGTACAGTTAATTAGTGGGGTTAGTGATTAGGCAGATTTTAGGGGTGGATAATTTGGGAATTTATTTGGAAATTTTGAGGTGTGGGGATTTATTTGGAAATTTTGAGGTGTGGAAATTGGGGGATTTATTTGGACATTTTGGGGTGTGGGAATTTGGGGATTTATTTGGACATTTTGGGGTGTAGGGATTTAGGACTTAATTTGAGAATTTTGGGAGAAGATATTTTGGGGATTTAGGAGTTTTAGAATAATTTTGGGATTTGGAGAACTGGGAATGTGAAAACTTGACAATTGAAAATTTTGGCAATTCGAAATTTGAGAATTGAAAATTTAGGCAATTGGAAATTTAATAATTGAAAATTTAGCAAATTGAAAAATTGTGAATTGAAAACTTAGGGATTTGAAAATTGGGGAATTGAAAATTTAGGCAACTGGAAATTTGAGAATTGAAAATTCAGAAAATTGAAAACTTGAGAATTGAAAATTTGTAGATTTGAAAACTTGAGAATTGAAAATTAGTAATTTGGAAATTTGAGAATTGAAAATTTAGGCAATTGGAAATTTAATAATTGAAAATTTAGCAAATTGAAAAATTGTGAATTGAAAACTTAGGGATTTGAAAATTGGGGAATTGAAAATTTAGGCAACTGGAAATTTGAGAATTGAAAATTCAGAAAATTGAAAACTTGAGAATTGAAAATTTGTAGATTTGAAAACTTGAGAATTGAAAATTAGTAATTTGGAAATTTGAGAATTGAAAATTTAGGCAATTGGAAATTTAATAATTGAAAATTAAGCAAATTGAAAACTTGTGAGTTGAAAACTTAGGGATTTGAAAATTGGGGAATTGAAAATTTAGGCAATTGGAAATTTGAGAATTGAAAATTCAGAAAATTGAAAACTTGAGAATTGAATATTTATAAATTTGAAAACTTGAGAATTGAAAATTGGTAGATCAGAAAACTTGAGATTTGGAAATTAGTAATTTGGAAATTTGAAAATTGAAAATTTAGGGATTCTAAAATTTGAGAATTGAAAATTTAGGGATTTGAAAATTGGAGAATTGAAAATTTAGGCAATTGGAAATTTGAGAATTGAAAATTTAGCGAATTGAAAACTTGTGAATTGAAAATTTAGAGATTTGAAAATTGGAGAATTGAAAATTTAGCGAATTGAAAACTTGAGAATTGAAAATTTAGGGATTCTAAAATTTGAGAATTGAAAATTTAGGCAATTGGAAATTTGATAATTGAAAATTTAGCAAAGTGAAAACTTGCAAATTGAAAATTTAGGTATTTGAAAATTGGAGAATTGAAAATTTAGGTAATTGGAAATTGGAGAATTGAAAATTTAGGCAATTGAAAATTTGAGAATTGAAAATTAAGGCAATTGGTAATTAGAGACTTGAGAATTTGATGAAAAATTATTAAAAATCACTACAGTGAGATCAAAAAACATACCCTAACACAATTTCTCACCCCCCAATTTGTCTTATCAATAAAATTACCCCAAAACAAAATATTACCCCAAATAAAATTGTCATCAAAGTTCAACAAAATTATCTTAAAATTCTGCAAAATCTTTGTACAATAAATAAACGAATAACAGAGGGTAAAAAAGGTGAAAAATGTAAGTCGTCTGTTTTTCGAGCGCAACAACTCGATCAACGTTTCTCGGAGGTTGTTCCTAAGGATAGATATCGATCGGTCGAAGGAGCACTGTCAAGAACGGTTTCCAGTGTCTGGTGTAAAAAAAACGGTGGAGCTCGAGAAAAATCGCGGCTGGAAGATGGATAGCCGGTAGTGGTTCGACGGTTGTTCGTTTTTTCTCTCGCGGCGGTTGGCAGCTCCTATAAAAATATTCACGTGCGGTCGAACCGCGTGCTCGCGCGACTCCCAATTAGTGCGTGCTGCCGGCGGCGCGTTGAGGTAAAAGAACCGCATGGGCCACGGTGATATTTCCGTCGACGAGCCTCTGTGGCCTTTCCCCGTAATTATGGCCCTCCGTCAATCCGCCGCTACTCAAAATCCCGGCCGTGGAAGTTTTGCCGTAACGAGCACCACCGTCGCCACCGTTCTGGATGCCCTCGTTAACCCACTACCGTTAAATTACACGGCCTACGAAACGCCCGCGTCTTCGACTACTGTACGAACCCTTTCGTCTTTACTCTACGTGATCTTCGATCTAGGGACGGACTGTACTACTACTCGACTGCCATATTGCATTTTGGGACTTATTTTTTATTTTTAGTATTTAGCAATTTTGGGATTTATAAGAGGATTTTGGGATGCGAGGACTTTGGGGCGTAAGAATTTTGGGACCTATGAATTTTGGAACGTAGGAATTTTGGGTCCTATGAATTTTGAGACGTAAGATTTTTGGGACCTACGAATTTTGGGACGTAAGGATTTTGAAACGTAAGAATTTTGAGACGGAAGAATTATGGGACCTATGAATTTTGGGACGTAAGATTTTTGGGACCTACGAATTTTGGGACGTAAGAATTTTTGGACCCACGAATTTCAGAACGTAAGGATTTTGGGATGTAAGGATTTTGAAACGTAAGAATTTTGAGACGGAAGAATTATGGAACCTATGAATTTTGGGACGTAAGATTTTTGGGACCTACGAATTTTGGGACGTAAGAATTTTTGGACCCACGAATTTTAGAACG